TCATCATACAACTGAATAAATATGATAGTATCCGAGAAAAACCTTATCGAATATTCTCTTTTGAATGACACTAACACAAATCTAATTAGAATTGCAATGTAAAAATTTACACAAGCGTTATATTAAGTTCTGCAACTTTCACTGCAACAAATCATTGAACATTTTTCTCTTGTAGAAGAACCCACAAGGGGGAAGGGAATATGTTTTATTGCGAAGGGCAAACACTGACCCAAAAGTGATAATATTCCATTGTTAAGTGTTTTTTAAGGTTAAAACACAATTGAATAAAAAAAAGATAAAATAATGAGCTAATCAAACATTCAAAATATAATTTAATGGAAATAAAACCTAATTAAAATCACAGAATAAAACACCACAGATGAATATAATTCATTTATAAGACACAACACAAGCATTATACAATTGAAGAGATTCACATATTAAAAAATGTCCCGCCATTAAATTTCCTGAACATGAGAGATCCCAATGCATGAATCAAACAGACAAAGTAACAAACCTTCAGAGCGAAACACAGATTCAAGATCCCTCATTTTCAACTTCCTGTGGGAAAGTTGAGATCTTTCTTCAACTTCTGCAATTCCTCTCTTCTTCCCAGCCATGACCTAGAAGAACTAAACCAAGAACAAGGCAAAAGTCAGAATCCCATCAAGAACTAAAATCCGAGCTATATATTCAGATCTGAGAATACCCTTGGAGACTTGTCAGCAAATTTCACATCCTTCATCCATCAATCTCTCAAACACACTGATTAGACTTAAAGATTAGGGCTTTGACTCTTCACCCAGAAACCCAAGATTTGTCTGGGAAAAGGGGGTCGACGGTTTCAGTGAAATCTTGAGAATTTCGAAATTCAAGTTTGAAATTAATTAGGGTTCGTAATCTTGGGAGGGAGGAAGATAGAGGAGAGGGTTTTGGAATCTTGGTGAAATGGCAGAAGGGGTATTTGAATTTGTAGATAGAGCGCGCCGAACCTCACTCGGAGCAAAATGTGGATAAATAATGTGAATTTGTGTAAATTTGTCGACGAGAAATTCGTATTTTTTGGGGCGCGAATGAGCAAATATTTTCCTTTTTCGAATTCAAATGGAATTCTAGGGGATATCAAATTTTGCAGGTTTGGAGATTCGAACTTTTAGTCTTTTACCTAGACCTCGCAATCGGGTCAATCGGTTCGGTTCCGATTCGAGTCTCATTCGGATATATGTTATAATCGGTTCGGGTCAGTTCGGTTTGGGTCAGTTCGTTTCCGGGTTAATTTCGGTTTGACTGGTTTCCGGTTTCAGTTCGGTTTCGGTTCAGATTTGTATCGGTTCGGGTTTATATCGGTTCGGGTTTGTATCGATTTAGGTTTATATTAGTTCAAATATATATTAAATATTTACTAATAAATCAATAATATCACATAATAAATTTAATCAATTTATGATATACTCCATAGTTATTTTATTATTTAACACGGACTTACATAAAATTTAATCAATTTTGGGTCTAATCGGTTCCGGGTTTAATCGGGTTCGGGTTCGGGTTTTATTGGTTCGGGTTTAATCAGATTCAGATCTGAATCGGGTCTGAATACATTCGGTTCGGGTTCGGTTCAGTTCGGATCATTTCGGATGTTCGGGTCAATTTCGGTTCTTCAGTTTTCGAGTCAAATCAGGTTTAGTTTCGGGTTATTCGGTTCGGGTTATCAGGTCCGGGTCAGTTTTGCCATGTCTACTTTTACCCTTTGGCTAAGGAGAAAAAAGTAGGTATTAAAGAAATTAAAGAAAAACAAAAGAAAGAAAATTATGATAAGATATAATTTTGAAATGGAAAATTATCTCAAATGATCTCACATTTTTGCGCTCTTTCAAAAATAATCTCACTTTTTAATTTCCATTATCACAGAATATAATCTCACATTTCCTCAGGTGTGCGAGTTTTGAGTCATCTAAACACTTTGACTCATCAAATTCTCTCAATGTGTAAGCCTAAATATAGTCATGTGTGATCTTGTTTGATTTGTCTTAACATATAAATTATTAATATATAATTTCTATAATTTTTTAATATACAAATTACAAGATAAAATGGATTAAAGAAGTGCATTGGATGGTGTGTAAAAATGAAAGTGGATAAAAACTGGGGGGCGGAGGGAGTACAAAATTTAAGTATTTTTTTAGAGCGACATTAATTATACTTTTCAATAATCGGTAATCTAGCAATAATTGTTTTTTCTAAAATAATACTCGTATTCTAAAAGTTGTGAAATTTCACAATAAATTATTCTACACAATGGAACTAATTTATCGATGATCATCTATTACCCGTATTATTTTTTCTAGAATGGCACTTCAAAACTTGTGGTTTTTTTATAATAAGTGCAAACTTTTTTCCCATAATAACAGTTCAAAAGTTGTGAAAATGACACAATATTTTTTCTCCAATATGGCACTAATTGTTTTTAATTATAAATCACTACAACTTTTTTGTATTGCAATTTCCTTCTCAAACGATAGTTTGATTTTTTTTTTCAAATAATCCAATATTATATTTCTCCAGAATAGAATACAAGATTTGTTAATCGCTATATTTTCAAAAAAAAGAGACAAATATCTAACAAAAAACATATGCGAAAAAGTGAGTTATTAACTTCTTAATGGCGACCTAAAACTCGCACATATGCGAAAAAGTGAGTTATTTTATGTAACTGTGAAAAGTGATATTATTTTTTAAAAAATATGAAAATGTAGATTTATTTAAGATAATTTTTTCTTTTGAAATAGGAAAGAAATAATACATGCTGTAAATTTTGAAATACAATTATTTGGAGATATTGCATATCATAATTTAATTAGTACTCCGTAATTGATAGACGTGGTCAACAACGTGGGTGGCTAGCGATGATAGTGGTAGCCGGTGGTGAGGTGGTCGGCAGTTGAAGGAGATTTCAAATTCTCATATTGTTATCTCCCAATTATAGGACATATCGAAACTTTTCATTTGACATATTTGTTATATTTTTTTATGTTTCACAGTCAACAAAAAAAAATTTGATATCAAGAGATATTAGATAGAATTCACATCTCATACGATAAAATTAGCGCTAAGCCGCTAATCAATTTTAAAAAAATTCAACCAGTCAAGAACAATCGTTCTTTTAGATTAAATCTTTTAGACACCTAAAAACACACCCTATGCATGGCTAAAAAGTCATTGGGCTATCAAGACTGAAAAAGCACATCCAATATGAAGAATTTTGCCCCAACATTCAAAATTTGAAAGTTCAGATGGGTTTGGGTACAAAAACAAAGGTTGATAAATATATTTTGTGTCAAGAGATGCTCCAAGCAACTTAAATAACACATTTTACTTATCAAAATATTTTCTAGCATCAAAATAATATTTTTTGACAAAAGTTTGACACATTTTTAAATATACTCAATAAACATGTCTTGTTAATATCAAAAATTAATTTTTGAACAGATAAAAAAAGTTAATAGTTTTTAGTTTTCTCTTATAAAAGTAGATTTTGAAGTGAAAAACATTATTGTCATTCTGAGAGTGATTTCTAAAATTCAATAAAATAAAGGTTTTCACAAACTCTATTTGACTTGCCCTATCTCAATCTTCAATAAATTTTGTGTTCCTTTATTCTACTATGACATAGAACATCTTTTGTTTGGTAGTGTGCTTGTCAATTCAAGGCTTTGTATTTGTCAAATATCAAAATATGCGAGTTAACATTTAACAGAATAATATAGTTTTTTATAGTAAAACTGGGAATATTATTAACGAATCAAAAGGGGAATAAGAAAGTCCAAAGGAACAAAGTCCCAAAATCATAACAAAATTCAGCTCGCCGAGCCAAAACATGAGCTATGACATTAGTACTATGACGAACAAAAGAAACAGAGGGAGAATGAAAACTACCCAAAAGAGCTTTACATTAAAAAAACGAGAGATCCAAAATAAGACACACCAGAAAAATCATTTTGACAAAGAGCCTAAACAACTCGAAGACAATCTTAAAAAAACTCAAAGTCTGAAATCCCTTGCTTTTCACTCATACCAAAGCATCCCGGCAAGCCATGCTTCAAGTAAAATTAGTCCCTCATTTATAAGAGTTATATGCATAAATAGGTTCATGCGGTCTTTCATAAGTGAGTAAAGAGTTCTCAAACTTTCAAAACTTGCCAAATAGTCCCTATGGTCAATGAGCCATTACATATTCAATCCTCTATGAGAGAATTCGTAAAATGTACACAACATGCGCGTATTATGTAAAGATATATATCATGTAACAGTAAAAAATGCTAATTTGAAGTTCTAGTTGTGATGTGTAAGTTTGAAGCGTAGTACAACATCTTCTATCTTTTAGTTTAATCGTCACATCGACTCTTCCGTCTCTTCTATAGTGATATTCTTGAACCACAGTATAATGTTTTATGTGAACTCGAGATTATTCTATTTCCATTTAGCCTTTATTCTATGGCAACACTGTGTGATATGAGAGCTAGAAAAATGTCATTCTTTGTATTTAACCAAACAGACGAGAGTAATTTCATCAAATTAATTTTTTTTGGTTACATGCTTCATATTTTCTCACAGTATGCATGTGTTCTGCATCCTTTATACGGAGTATTTTCTTTGAAGGAGGGACTAGTTATACACAAATTCGTTGATCACAATAATTATTTTACAACTTTTAAAGATACAAAGAGGGTGTTTGGGAGTGATTAGCTTATTGATAAAGTGATTTTTACAAAAGCTGAAAGCAAAAACACCTCATACATGCTTCTCCGAAATGGTGTTCCATGTACAAAATAATGTTGGTGAAAAGCAAAAACTAACATGCCAAACATAGTAAAATCACTTCCACTCAAAGCAGAAGCTAAATTGTTAAAAGCAGCAGCCCAAAAACCCTCAAAAACTATTTAGGAAAGACTATGGGATTGTGGAGATAACTCATTTATAAATACACTTGATAATTGCAACCCCAAGATTCTCAAATCTCAACTGGTCCAGTAATAGTACAACTGCTATTTCAACTTCTCTTCCTTTCTCTGATCTCAGGAGGAGCAAAGGAATCCATTACAGTTCTATCCAATGCAAGATCCGTTCAATTCGAAGCCGACGATGAACCAGCACCCGTTGTTCTCATCCGCATTGAAGCCGTCGCACCACCGGAGAGCTCACTCCGAGGTGAACTTCCGGTTGCCGGAGGATCTGGATCTGGCGTCGGACCCGTTCGATGCGACGCCGGCGGGAAGCTTCGAGGATATGGGATCGGAGGAGGATTTCTTCTCCACCTACATGGACATGGACAAGCTCGGCGGCGGATCTAGCGCTGCTGATGCTTCTCCCGCAGCTGGATCCGCTGACGGTTGCGGCTATGGGGAGAAGCCCTTCGCCCGGCCCCGGCATCGCTATAGCAACTCCGTCGATAGCTCGAGCTCGCTGCTCGGCGAGAGTACAATCGAAGCCAAAAAAGCTATGCCCCCTGATAAACTGGCTGAGCTTTGGACCCTTGATCCCAAACGAGCTAAAAGGTAAGCTTCTATTACGCCAAATAGTCTATTTCCTTCAAAGTTTTCATATTACATTGCTGTTTTCGATCACCATTGATGATTTTGCGGGAATCGGGATAGGGATTAGTCGACGATTTAAATCCAGGCCATTGTGCTAAATTCCTCCATATAACCTCCAATGACCATGACCTTGAAGATCTTCCTTATTTTTAATTTTTGCCTTTTTGTTTCATTTCATTTTTCTGGTCAGCTAGAAATGAATCACTAGAAAACATTGAAGTGAGGAAAATCATCATTTCATTTGCTTGAAATGAATTATAGAAAGCATATAACCAGTATGGCTCTAAGATCTTAACACACACTTGAGCCTACCATTAAATGCTGCCATAGGAAGAAGAGTCTAGCTGTTTTGATCTCTTCCATTTACATTAAGCCCCTTTGTCAAGTTTAAATTTTGTCGATGAAATTTTGTAATTAATGTTAAAATTCAAGAATATCTATTAGGAATTTAGATTTAATATTCTCTTTCTGAATTGCATTGTTATCCATCTTCCTGATTCCTAATCACATTGTGATCAAAGCCCCTTATGTTTACAATTCTACAATTGCTTATTCAATGATGCAAGTTTTGAAAATAAAAGATAGAAAGAATACCTTATCTAAATGTATGATTGTTGATAACGGTTTACAGGATCCTGGCAAATCGACAATCAGCAGCTCGGTCAAAAGAGAGAAAGGCGAGATATATATCCGAACTCGAAAGGAAAGTGCAAACTCTTCAGACAGAAGCAACCACACTTTCTGCACAGCTTACACTTTTCCAGGTTTGCTGCAATATCCATGGATTTGAAGAAATTTACTCAACTTTAAGCCATATCTGCCTTTTGCAAAATACCTTGAAGTCATGAAAAATCTTTTTTTAATGAAGATCTTTTCCTGGAAAAAGAAAACATTTTCTAGAGCCAAAACCAAATAAATCCAGAAAAAAAAGTTTTATGAAAACAAGCGGAGCCTTAGTATGAAATGTAGCCTAACACTAAATTTATACTGGGTAGTTATGATTATCTAAACTTTACACTTAGAATAATGGTAATCTAGAACAGTAGACAAAAGGAAAACAGCTTCCAATCCAAGAATATAACCTTGTTTCTAATAAAAAATCATGAACAAGAGACATTCTGTTCCTTTTTGTGTTTTTATTGTACACTACAAAATACAAAATTGAACAAGTTGTCCCAGATTGCAGTTCCTAATTGACTCTTCTGTCTACTACAGAGGGATACTACAGGGCTCAGTAATGAGAACACAGAGCTTAAACTTCGTTTGCAAGCCATGGAGCAACAAGCTCAATTACGTGATGGTATGTATCTTACCTATTCTGGCTTTTCTCCTCCTTCATGTGACACCAGAAGAGAGGGTGAGTGGGGTTGAATATCTGTTAGAGTGCATCCCACATTGGAAGTCCAAGAGTAAAATAATCGGTATATAAGTTCTTGAGTTGAACTAACTAATCGATTGGATTCAATCTTTTAATGTGGTTCAACCCAAGTGTCTTATTGCCTAATCCAGTTGTCCATACCCCATCCTAAATTTTATCAATATCATTTCTTTAAGGGTCTGTTTGGACTTTTGAACCCAAAAATGCTCAAGTAAAAAAGTCTCAGGAAAAGGAATAGATTCAAATTCAATGTGTATATTAGGTATATATTCATACTCATTTATCCATTTATTTCTGTTGTATAAACACTAGAAAATCTAAATATATGAAAATGGAGTTTTAAAATTATTAAGGAGTATATTTCATTTTTATCTCTTTTTTCTTTTAAGTTTGTCCAAGGCAAAACTCAACATAAAAATCCTTTTCCTAGCCTTTTCCGTGATCCAACCATACCTTAGGGGTCTGTTTGGAACCCAAAAAATACAAGGGAAAGAAAATGAAGAAAAGATATGGGAACTTTAAAGGGAAAGAAAATTTGGGAGAAAAAAAATTACGGAGTGGTTCAAACATTTTAGGCTCCATTTCGGTCATAATCAATTTTCTTAATTTGCTTATCATAACTATAATAAGGTCATGTTCTTTTCTCGACTTACCTTTAACGGAAGTATGGAGACGGGTGGAGATTGGTAACTGGATTCTTTAACTAGTAAGTGAAACCTTAACTTTTTAACTGGAATCCGAATGACTGAAATAAAAAGTTTAAGAAACAGGGCCTTTGTAGCTTTTGACCTCTTTGGCTGCCATGGTTGCTACCAATTGCTTTTCCTTTTAGAAAACTCAGCAAGTTCCTCTAGGCATTTTTGTTGTAACCCTTGCCAAATATGCCTTTAGTTAAATTCGATTTTCCTTTGTCTTGTCCCAGGCAAAACCAAACTCAAGATATATTCCATATGAATTTCTCCTTGATTCCTCCCCCAGCATCTTCATTGATCCAAACATACCCTAGCTAGATGACTCTTAGATAAAAGAGAAAAGAAACAATCATGGTTAGCATTTTTATGCACTGATTTTTTTGCCATCTTGAAAATGCAGCTTTGAATGAAGCCCTAAAGAATGAAGTTGAGAGGCTGAGAATAGCCACAGGAGAAATGTCATCTTCTTCATCTGATGCTTACAACTTGGGAATCCAACAACACGATCCTTACACTAATAACCAATCACCCTTCTTCCCACAATTTCACTCCCTCCAACAGCCAAACACGTCCTCCTCCCAGCACAACCACCCTCCCGCCACCATGCTCTCGTCTGCATCTTTACAGGCTCTCACAGAAGCATTTCAGCAGCAGGACCCTCTCGGGCGTTTCCAAGGCCTTGACATAAGTAGCAGCAGAGGGTCCCACCTTCTCATGAAGAGCGAATCCCCTCCCATATCCGCCGGTGAAACCAGCTCCTCTTGAATTCTTAATATTTATCAGAATTGTTAATAGGCTGACACCATTTTTAATATTCTTCATAATAATTTTTTTCTTCATTTTTTCTCCCCTGTTGTGCCATTCAACTTGAGTTTTAGGGTTATTATCATCTGTAGCTCAAATGTGGTCTGGATATTCTTTCTTGTTTCCTATGGGAGGTGGAGACTCTTGCATAGATGAATCTATTCATTGTCTTACTTTTCGATTATGAATTGTGCAAGTGTGTTCCCCCCCCCCCCTTTTAATTATATTCATAATGAAAGAAGCATTTAAACATTATAAATTTATACTTCTTAATAATGTTAATTAAATCTGATCTCTACTTCTGAGCAGGGGTAAGAGATTGTGTATACACACCCTCTCTATACTATTGTGAGATTTTATTGGGTTCTTGTTTTTTGTAATGTTAATTGATTTTGGCCAGGAGCAAGGAGTCAATTCACTTACCATGCAAAATTACTAAAAAAGAACTCATCCAATTATATATTCTTGTTCTCCCTCATATATTTTCTCATTATGCGTTATGATGTTTGACTGACTTTATTTTTAGTTAAATTTATTTGATTGTAGGTATAAAATTTAAAAATAAAATTTATATAGTGAAAAGCTATATGCAAAGTTTTACAAAACAAAAGATGATAAAGCTATATTATTAATGAAATAAGTAGTAAAAATAAGCAAGTAAAGTGAGGTAAGTTTATGTGAATAATGTCTAATAAGATTTATGGGGAACGGATAGAGTACTCCGAAATAAAACTTTAGAGCTTGGTTTTATAAAATTGAAGATAAGTAACATGTGGTCAAACTTAAAAAAGTTTAAAAAGTTCTAAAAACCCAAAGTAAAACTTAGTACTCTTAAAAGTTGATCAATGTATTTTTTTCGTAATATGTGGCCAAATTATAAAGGATTTTACTGTAAAAATTAAATTGAGAAATTAATTTTAAGACAAAGGAGTATGTGATTGGAATTAGTTTATATGAGAAAAAAATTGTGAGCCTTACGTGTCATGATTTATAAGGTAATGTGTGAAAGTTACTTTTGGACGGGAAAAAATTTAACTTTTTTTTGGACGAGTGAGGATGTCAAAAAAATTTGTGTTCACTTTCCTACACGAAAAACTTGCCCAATTTCACAATGTGGCTACAATTTTTCAAAAAATAATGTGAAAAACATGAGAATATTATTTGAACATGTAATTGGAGTCTCTTAGAGAAAACTCACCAAGATGCCAATTGGCCTATCAACAAGGCTAATAGGCAAATTGGTGAAACTGTGAAAGAATATAATTTTTGGGCTTGCAACCCTAAACATTGTCTCACCAATTGAGTTTTTTTTTTTGAAAGGACAAATTGAGCTATTTATCCATTGGGAGAGATGCCTTTCATGGTTTGGAGTTGGGGCATTGATATCTCCACATAAGTAATTGAGATATATATGTTTTTTTTATTAATATATGTGATGCATACTATTTTTGACATTTTGTCCCATGTAACATGATACTATATGGGTTGGTTACACTTTCTATAATAAAATCAAGAAGTCATTAATATATATATATATATATATATATATATATATATATATATATATATAGTACTCTATGGAATAATAAAGAGAAGGTTTGCAGTGTTCCTTCACATGGTTTGCACGTTCAACATGCCCTCATTTATTCAAGAAATACAATTTCCTTTTGGACCACACACACCATTTCTTGAGAGCCATCTTATATTCTAAAAATATTATTTTACTTTTCTTACTATAAATCTTATTTCACCTTCAATTCATTGATAAATGATGTGAGATAGCCCAATAATGAAATGAGATCTTACTTTAAACTATATGACAATATGTGAAAAGTGGGATATGATGGTAAAATAATATTTTTATGACATCAGATCCACTACCAAATTACTCTTTAGTCTCTTTCTCGCATGCACTGTGTTTATAGAAATGCTGTTAAGAGAGAACATTATAAATGATGGGTAAATAAGTAATGGGCATATATATTAAATGCATCTAATGACCATTTACTTTAACAACATGCAAGATTGTTTTTTTCATATAATGACGATTTAATTATGGAATATTCATATATATTAAATGCATCTAATGACCATTTACTTTGACCATTAATATCTATATTTATATATAGATATATTTTATAAAAATTTGATATTTGAAAACAACGTTTCATTATGAATATATTGATATTTAAATTACATCATAATACAATGTGTTTTTTCCACAAATCGTAGTCAAAGTTTATAAACTTTGACCAAGAAAAATCAAATGTGAAGAACATTTCCAAGGGAGTAAAATTTTAAGAATTTTTATCATATTTTGATGTGCATGTGTTTGAGTGTTGGTGGTTTTAGAACTCACCATTATTTATTACTCCAAAAACCATTCAATTTCATAAAATAGAAGATAATAATGGATGACAATCTTCTTAAGATGGAAGAAAATATTATTTGGAAAAAAGGAAAATGGCGTACGATCTTAGACGCGGAGGGTAGAAGGGGGCGAAAAAAGGAAAATGGCGTACGATCTTATGGGAGAAAAAATTGGTGGTCCTATCCATGGAAATTTTATGTTTTTAGGTCTTATTTGGAGCAAATCTTTCAATATTATAACAAGAATTGGGTGACCTTTTTTCTTGCATATTAATTGATTTTTGAACCCAGACCTAGACTAGACAAGGTAAGGAGAGTAATTGAACATGGAAGGCGCCCTTTTGATTGCAAGAGTGAGTAAGAATGTGAGTATGATTGTGTTGAAAATAGTGTTGCCCCCTGAGGTGGGGGCATTTATGTAAGTTACATATTCTCATCTTTTTGTCGTCTCGTTGTTGTCCGCGACAAGGCCCATGTGAGGCCCATGCAGCAGACCAATGGGGTACGGGACCCATGACAATGGTTCAAGGAATATATGTACTTATACATGCATGATACATTGTACGAATGCATTATACACAAGGGATGTTCTTATAGTGGGCTTGTTAATTCGGACATGGTGGAGAGAAACCCATCTCCTCTTTTTAAATGCGCCTAAGTCCATATCGATCTCACATGGCAGAGTGTGTGACCCTGCTAGAGGCCGAGTATGTAGTTTTCAACGGTAAGCAAATTTTGCATGGGAGGGTGGCAAAGTCCAAGTTTGCGATTGTGGCAGAGCCCGATTTTCTCGAACTAAGTGCTTACAATATCCGATTTGGGGAAGGCGTCCTTAGTCGGATGAGTTTCGTTGATCCCGAGTATGCTTTATTTGGCTGAGTACATACCTCGATTTCTCAATTCTCAATGGGCTTCATTTGTTGGGCCTGCTACTTAATTTGGGCCGAATACCCCCAGTCGTGGGTATCCATCATCACATAGAGATTACAAAAAATATTTAAATGTTGATATTTTTGACATTGTAAATCATATTTTGATAAGAAAAATATAAAGAATCTATTTTAATATAAAAATTACTATCTTCGTCTCAGATATACTTGTTAAATTTATAAATTTTCATTATTAGCTAAATAAAGTATATTCATGTGTTAGATATTGATATAATTTTTTATTAGATTTATATTATAAATATTTTCAAAATAATATGTTATCTAATTAACATATCAAGTAATTTGCATTTAATTATAATTTAAAAAATCGATCACAATTTGCTGCAAAAGGGATAGAATTGAACAAATATTCTAAAACAAAGAGAGTTTGTTTTATTCTTACTTAAAATTTTCGCCCTTAATTATCAGTGTTTTGAAGATCGGACCGAACCGGCTGGTCCAACCGGTCGACCTGCGAACCGGCAACAAATCCGGTCCGGTTCACTGAAGAAACCCGGCTCCCTTTTGACCCGCCCAAACCCGTCGACTCGTCCGATTCCCGGGTGAACCGGGTGACCCAGGTCGACTCGTCCGATTCCTGGGTTTGGGCTTAAATCTACATTTTATTAAATTTTTAGACATAAAAATTGAAAGTGGTGGCTGGGAATCAACCCCAAAACCTCCCGTATACTAGTACAAGTTGTCAACCAAGTGAGCTACTCAATCTTTGTTTAAAATCTAGGTATCAATCATATGTATTTATGGTTTTACAAAAGGTTCATACAAAATTAATACTAGTATGTAGTTTTTTGTGCAAGTGTGAATTATTTGTATTTATGAACTTTTAAAATAATTTTAAAAGTTGAGAATAATTTAATTTTTATTTGAAAATAAATATACTCTGTATATTTTATATTTAAAAAATTGTTGTCTTCAAAAATTAAGTAATATTATTAATTATGGAGTATAATTTAATATGCTATATTTTTTATTTTCAATCATTTTAATCAACTAAATATTAACTTTAAAATGTCATATGTATATAAGAATAAAATATATAGTCTTTAATTTTAGAAAATATGAGTATCGCCTTATTATTTAAGTATTTGTTAGAGATTCAGTATTAACTTTTCATAATAATAAAAATAATAAAATAGAAATCGAAGGTGTGAAATATCATATGTATAAGGATATTAAAAAGAGATGGAGAAATAATAACATAAATTAAAATATTTTATTAACTAAAAATATCTAATATATCATAAAATATTATTATTATACACATAGTTGACCAGGTCGTTGACCCCCGGTTCGACCGGTCAACCCTTGACCCACTACCTCGTCCGAGTCGACGTCCGGTCCGGTTTTCAAAACATTGTTAATTATTCCCCACATCTCAAAGAGAACTTCACAATACTCCCTCCGTTCCTAAATGATTTACACACTTCAATATTCAAAAATCTCGAAAATTTTTGTTTATTTGTGTGTTTTCATTAACTTTTTGATGAAATAAAATATTATCGTCACTTCGTATTATGTAGAACTTTTGATGTACTATTTAAATATGTAATTTTTATTTTTTATTTATGTATTAATCTTTAAAAAAATAAATTAATAAAACTAGAGATTTTTACTTCGTCATATATAAAGTGTAAATCATTTAAAGACAAGTAAATATTATAATTAAATACTCTGGTATATTTCTTCATAATTTATACTCCCTCCGTCCCTAAATATTCACAACATTTTCTTTTTCAGCAGTGTCGGGAACTTTTGTTTATTTCGACGTTTTCAATGATTATTTGATAAAATAAAATATTATTGACGCCTTTTATTTCGAAGAACTTTTCATGTAGTTTTTTTATATGTAAATTTTATTTTTTTATTTCTTTACCAATATGTAAATAAAATGAATTGAAAAAACTTAATATTTTATTTCGGGATTACAAATGTGGCAAATAATTTAGGACGGGAGGGAGTAACAAAAATAGG